GATGCACACCGCCTCGCGGAGGGCACGTCCAGGCAAACCTCTCATCCGCTCCGTTCGGAGGGCGATGGGGGTTTCGGGCAGATGGGGCGGCGATGCCGTTAGGAGGCAGGGAACGCTGACTGGACCAAGAACTGGGAGTTGCCCCCCCTCCCCCCCCCGCCCCGCCCCCCCTCGAGGACGAGCCCCGACCAAGCCTAGGCCGCCCCGCCCTCCGTGGCTTGGTTAGGGCTTCCCTCCCCCTCAGGCTGGAGGAGCCTGCCACCCGTGCCGAGCGCGACTTCCTGTCCTCGTCCTGACCGCCGCCGCTCCTCCTGGTCCTCCTCGTGCTTGCGCTCCTTGTCCTCGTCGTCGTCGTCCTCGTTCTCCGTTGTGCCGCCCCCCTCTCCACGCGCACCTCCTCCTCCTCTTCCTCCTCCTCCTCCTCCTCCTCCTCCTCCTCCTCCTCCTCCTCCTCCCCTCCCCTTTTCCCTTCTCCTCCTCCTCCTCCTCCTCCCTCCTCCTCCTCCTCCTCCTCCTCCCCCTCCCGTTCCCCCTCCTCTCTATGTTCGCCTTTACATCCTTCTGTCGCATCACCAGATGTGCCCATAAGCCGGGCTGGGCGTTTCGATTGAGACTTGCTTGCGATAGCTGTCACGCAGATGGATGGCTGGCCGTTTTCAGAATGGGGCTCTCGCCTGAGCACCGCGCGAATTCGTTGTAAAAGCTTGCGTCAGTTGCACGGGTGGATGGCCGGTCGTTTTCAAAAGGGAGCTTTCGCTTCAGCGCCGCACATTTCCGGTTCGTCTTCAAAAACGGGCTCTCGCATTAGACTTCCTTTCGTTCTATGGCCCGAAGTTCCACGTTGTGCAAGAGCGACACGGTTTTAGGGTGGCTCCTTCTCAAGCAGGGTTTCTCTTTTGATAGTTCCACAACTGCTGTAACCAGCAACCGGTGCTTCCTTCATACCGGTGGAAGGCAGCGCCTTCCAAAACGCTGGTTCACGAAGGTGAAGCACCCTTAGCACTGCCTGCCCCATGCATGTGCTGTCTTCCTGCCCTCTGCTTCTCTCCCCCTACCTGCGCCGCTGCAGCAGTTTCGGATCAGAGGGGACCGCCTGCGAGGTGCCGCTGCGCCTCGCTCTTGTCACTGTGGTCGTCTGTGCAATGTCAGAAGAACGGGAGGGGAGCGGGCCAGCGGGACAATCGCTGGACACCTGTCACTTCTTGGGGCTTCACCATCCTGCAGTGCCGTTTTTAACACATGCTCCGCGTGCGGATCATGTATTACAAAATGCACGGATTTAGTATTAAACGCACCGACGAGCTCATGCGTAAATTTATTCATAAATTAGTCATGTATTATTTTTATTTTTTATCCTATGTATTAAAGCAACTGCCCTGTACGTCCGTGCTCGTCGTCGAGGTGGGGAAGGCAGGGCGTGGATCCTGTACGGAGCGGGTCTCGCGCGAGTTGGCAGGCCCGCCTCGGGCGTCCGTCCTTCAAGGGGGGGGAGGGGGGGCGCCTCCCTGCGGAGGCGAGACACACGAGCGGAGACCTCCTGAGAGGGGCGACCTCCTCCTCCTCCTCCTCCTCCTCCTTCTCCTCCTCCTCCTCTTCCTCCTCCTCCTCCTCCTCCTCTTCCTCCTCCTCCTGCGGAGGCAAGACACACGAGCAGAGACCTCGGAGAGGGGCGGCTTTGGGACGGGAGGGTTCTTGCAGTATCGCCGATGCATCCCGGGCCTTGTCCTCTACCCTGCTGCTCCTCCTCATCCTCCTCCTCCTCCTCCTCCTCCTCCTCCTCCCCCTCCTCCTCCTGGTCCTCGTCGTTCCCTCGGCACCCTCGTGTCTGTCCTCCTTGGAATCAGCAGTTGAAGGAGCCTTGTGTGTTCGGTTGGCTTCAGACACCCGTCGGGGTACCTTCGTAGGATTGCCCAAGGTTTTGCCTAAGGCTCTGTCTCGCCGCCAGCAAGCAGCCAGGGCGGCGAGGTGGTCACACCTGGATCAAATGGAGATGGCGTCCACTCCACTCCACTCCACTCCACTCCACTCCACTGCACTCCACTCCACTCCACTCCACTCCACTCCACTCCACTCCACTCCACTCCACTCCACTCCACTCCGCTCCGCTCCACTCCACTCCACTCCACTCCGCTCCACTCCACTCCACTCCACTCCACTCCGCTCCCTTTTTCCTGCCTGATTGTCGTCGTCGTCTTCCTCCTCCTCCTCCTCCTCCTGCTCTTCGTCGTTTCTCTGTCGTCCTGGTCTTCGCCCCCCCTCACAGAAGCAACGCAGGCATCGACGACTTTTTCGAACAGTGGCTATTGACAGTTACTGCCTGGGGATAGCGAAAGTTCAAGAAGTGCAGTCGAGCATCTGATTCAGAAACCTCCTCGCGAAAAGCTGGGCCAGCGTTTCCCAACGAACTTGCCGGACAGCTGGCCCAGTTTCTTGAGCGCGTTCGCCCCTCCAGCGAGATCCCGAGCACCTGGCCCCCAGCTCTGTCTCGGGCAACTTCCCGAAAGCTGGCCCAGGTTCCCCGGACGATGAGTGCCTGGACCTCGTGCCCGGCTGCACGTCGGGGACCACCCCCTCCTCGACCTCACCCTGGACTCGGGGGCGGGAAAGAGGGGGGTGATGACTGGGGGGGGTGGATCTCATGGCGTGGGCCATGATATTTCCCCAGATCTCATGGCGCCTCTTCTTATTCCCCATATCCAAAGATGGGGTTCTTGTTATTGGCGGACCGCGCCGGAAGGACACAGAACAGGACAGAACACCACACCCATCACTCAGACACACGTAAGTTATTCCCCATATCCTAAGATGGGGTTCTTGATTCCCCATATCCAAAGATGGGGTTTTTGATTCCCCACTCACTCATCACTCAGACTCACTCATCAAGACTCACTCATCACTCAGACTCAGTCCTCACTTAGACACACCACTCATCACTCAGACTCACCACTCAGATTCACTCATCACTCAGACTCACTCATGCTCTCTCATCACTCAGACTCAGTCATCACTCAGACTCAGGCGATTCGCTCGTCTCAGCAATCTAAGGGGGGCGGCGGGGGGGTATTTCACGGGGTCCCGTTCGCGGAATTTTGTGGGGATGTCTCAGGCGGTTTGGCCATTTTCTGATCCAACATGTTTCGTTTTCGGAGCAGATTTGGAGGATGTCTCAGGCGATTCGCTCGTCTCAGCACTCTAAGGGGGGCGGCGGGGGGGTATTTCACGGGGTCCCGTTCGCGGAATTTTGTGGGGATGTCTCAGGCGGTTTGGTCATTTTCTCTTCCAACATGTTTCGTTTTCGGAGCAGATTTGGAGGAAGAGGAGGAGGAGTCAGGAGGAAGAGGAGGAGGAGGAGGAAGAGGAGGAGGAGGAGGAAGAGGAAGAGGATGGTGATGATGAGGCTGATGATGATGATGATGATGATGATGATGATGATGATGATGATGATGATGATGATGATGATGATGATGATGATGATGATGATGATGATGATGGGGAGGAGGAAGAGGAGGAGGAGACTGGGGAGGAGGAGGAGGAGGACGAGGCAGGGGAGGAGTAGGAGTAGGAGTAGGCGGAGGAGGAGGAGGACGATGATGAGGAGAAGGAGGCGAGCATGAGCACGAGTAGGAGCAGATAGATGATGGGATGATGATGATGATGATGGTGATGCTGGTGATGATGATGATGGCGATGATGATGATGATGGTGGTGGTGGTGATGATGATGATGATGATGATCGCAACGACGATGGCCGCGCCGCTTTTTTGATAATCGAGGAGGAGGAGGAGGCGCAGGAGGAGGAGGAGGAGGAAGAGGAGGAGGAGGAGGAGGAGGAAGAGGAGGAGCAGGAGGACGGGGAGGGGCAGGAGGAGGAGCAGGAGGAACTTCGAACTTCGAGGTCTGGAGGCCCGTTTCGGGCTCCGGCACTGATGATGGTGATGATGATGATGATGATGATGATGATGATGAGGATGATGAGGAGGAGGGGGAGGGAGGAAGGAGGAGGAGGAGGAGGGGAAGAGGAGGAGCAGGAAGGGGATGATGACGACGATGACGATGACGATGACGATGATGATGATGGTGATGATGATGGTGATGATGATGCAGATGATGATGATGATGATGACGATGATGACGATGAGGGGGATGATGAGGAGGAGGCTGGTGATGATGGTGATGATGATGCTGATGATGATGATGATCATGATGATGACGACGATGATGAAGAGGATGAGGATGCGTAAGAGGACGATTAGAATGACGACGACGACGATGATGATGATGATGATGATGAGGATGATGATGATGATGTTTGCCCCGCTCTCTCAGAGGTCTCTGGGGGAGAAGGAGAAGAAGGAGGAGGAGGAGGCAAAGAGGTTCTTTCTCGGAGGAGGAGTCGGAGGAGGACGAGTGGAGGAATGGGAGGAAACCGAAGGCGAGGGGCCCCGTTCGTAGAATTTCGTGCGCATGGCTCAGGCGGTTTAGGCACTTTCTGGTGCAGCATCTCTCGCTTTCCGACTCCACGAATAGGAAGGGGAGTGGGAGGGAGGAGGAGGAGGAGGAGGAGGAGGAGGAGGAGGGGAGGAGGAGGAGGAGGAGGAGGAGGAGGAGGAGCAGAAGGAGGAGGAGGAAGAGGATGACGAGCCCGCAGTCGGAGGCACGCCTCGGAGCCCTTCAAGGACGCCCTCGTCGTCGTCGTCGTTGTCGTCGCCGTCGCCGTAGCCATCGCCATCGGCACAACCACTGGCAGCACAACCAGCACAACCATCACCAGAAGAACCACCAACAGCACAAGCGGGGCGGGCGATGCGAGCCTCGGCCCCGCAAAAGCCTGCGGGCGAGCACCAGCGCAACCAGCGCAACCATCACCGGCACAACCGCTAGTGCAATTACCACCAACGTAACTACCACCAGCAATCCTTTTCAGGGGTTGCGCATTAACAGTGGCGACAGCCGCCACCAGCACAACTTAATATATTCATTTGTGGCCGCATTGCGGCCAA